GTTAAGTGCAAATAAGGATGAGAAAAATAAAATGGAACCATAGATTAGGTTAGTATGGTACAGTACTGATGTATAAAATTATACTACTGTAATTTTAGAGGTACATCAAATCCTTTCTGGAATAAGGCAAATCTGTACACTTAAAATTTGTGACCTACAAATTTAGCTCTAACTTTTCTCACAGAAAATTGGAAACCACTAATGAACGATTTATCCTAAGAGCAAACCTCTAACACACTAAGGATTAAAAATAAATTTAGAGAAAACTTAAAGTCAAGCTGGGTCTTACTAACATTAAACAGTTTCTTTACGTGAAAGCCATTATTAGATTGGTGATTATAAGGACTTCTTAAAATAAGGTTCCCTAAAATGAAAAACATTTCAAGAAGTAACTGAAACATTGAAAAAAAATAAGGCTTTAAAAGGAGGGCCCAAAGAATCTACAACGATTGCTTTTCCTGTCCCAGTATGCAGCCAATGATCTCATTTCTGATGACTAACCCACCTTCCTGAATCTGTCCTGTCCCACTGAGTCAGCCATACCAGCCCCTGGTGGCACCAGCAGCCATCTGAGACCCTTTTTCACCCCAGAAGAAAATCCCCTGGATTAGACCTTTTGCTCTTTAGTCCACTCCCTAGTTAGGGTAGAGCTACACCAATTAAACCAGGGTCTTCTCTCGTGGAAACTCCATCCTCCCTTGACCACCAACCTGTGTGAATACATGGCCGTTTAGATAAAAGGTTTGATTTGATAAGCAAGGAAAAGTCATATTTTGTTATCTCCATTCTTTGAGCGACTTTCAGTGTGTTAGTAGGACTTCTGCGTCAGAAGCTTAGCATTCTAAAGGTAAAGCGTTAAGCCTGAAGAACCTCCATCAAAAGCCGTATATATGATAAAGGGTTATATATGATAAAAGGGTTTGTAAGCCACTGAACTTTATACAAATATGTAATCTATTATTGTTAGTCGCCCCTGTTTGCAACTGTGAATAATAAATGCAAAACAAACTGAGTACACATTGCGAAAAGTAAGCACTACGGTAAATTGCTCTCACACATCCCAGCTGCACCCTAACATCTTCCCTTTTCCCATAGGCGACCCTCCCGCAACGGGCACTGGAACTTTGCTGATCACCCTGGAAGACGTGAACGACAACGCTCCCTCCATTTACCCCACGGTAGCCGAAGTCTGTGATGACGCCAAAAACCTCAGTGTAGTCATTCTGGGCGCGTCAGATAAGGATCTTCACCCAAACACAGATCCTTTCAAGTTTGAAATCCATAAGCAAACTGTTCCCGATAAAGTCTGGAAGATCTCCAAGATCAACAGTAAGTCCAGTGAAAACATTCTACCCTTATTCTTCTGGCTTTGACCTTAGTTTCTCTTTCCTAAAATGCTTTTCCTCTACTACTCTCTCGTGTGTTCACTTGGTTTAAGTTATTTATGCATTGTAAGTACTGACAATTTTCCCACCAGCAAACAAATAGAATTCGTAGAGATATTGAATCTCGGTTTCTTATAGAAACAAAGATGGAAGTTTTCTCTTCTGTTCCCCGCCCCGCCCCCTGCATCTTCTCTATACTGTGCACCTGCGCAGTTACCTGCCTCACCCACTCTACTCTCTACACGACAAACTCCACCCCGTGCACCGTGACCCGGCCTTCTCTCGACTGATCTGTCATCTCTGCATTTCCGGCGTCCCAGAGTACCCATCACAAGACTGTGATTCTTTCTTCTTCCTCTTCCTCCTCCTCTTTTTTTTTCTTTTAATTAAACGCCACAGATTCTTTCTTTGCAACTGGCTTGCACAAAATATTGGCCAACCTACCCAGTCTTAGGCCTTCGAAAGAGAGGGGTCTCTGCTTCTCCCCACATGTCTCTTGGCTCCGCTGTCTCTCCTGTCTCAGAGACAGAGAACTGCATCTGCAGTAACTCCCCCCAGCACATTGGAGAGAATACTATGGTGTGCCTGCCTTCCAGAAAGATCAAAGAAAAGAAAATCCTTGGGAGAAGAATCGTTACAAAGCCTCTGATCTCTGATCTTCCATTTTATGTTGCAGACTTCCTCAAACTTGACTTAGTCTAACGACGACCTTGGCTTTTCTTTCAAATCCTTGGCTTTTATCCTCGACTTTGATATCTCCTTCCGTATGTCTTCTCTCTCCTTTATGAAATTTGCAGGCAGTGTCTCTTTCTACCAGCCTTTCCACGTGGGCAGGTGGAATTCAAAACGTGTCCCAAGATTTATCATCTGCCTTATTAAGAAGGAAACACCAAAGTGTTGAATTATGAAATAGCCCAATATCTGCAATGTCTCACCCACTTTCTTCCCAAATGTGAATGAAATACTAGGTTCGCCTTGTCTTCCAATAAAGTGAAAAAAAAAAGAACTCACACATCAGACATACACCCTGTCTTCAGTATTCTGCTTTTCACCCAGTCAGGGGTCCCACTTCTTACATCCGTGGTAGAATTTCGGAGGAAGACAGTGAATTACCCATTTCATTAAGTTTTGAAATATATTGTACAATTGTGCATAAAATTTTTTATTTAAAAATCTCATACCTATTGTTATAGCCCTATCTCATATTTTATTTTATTATTGCCTTTCCCTGGTTATTGATTCTATTTGCCTGTTTGTCTATTTTATTGCTTTTTTAAGAATGGATTCTGTTACACTGATTATTTTTAATTAAAACAGCCCTTCTCTTGTTTGAGGGGTTCATGTTTTATTTACTAGTTTTTATGGCTGTAACTGATTTGAATAATTATCACCGGTTCTTTCTGACTAGAACTTTCTCATTCAAGAGTTTCTCCTCTGCTTGAGGGAGGTGGGGAAACATTCCTCGAGTTCATCTGCCCTTTCCCTGGGGTGGTCGTCACATTGGTCCTTTCTGCTGCTGTCACCTTCCGGTAATGATCATGCTCTATCTGTTTCTATTTCCAGGTCACCACACTCTTGTTTTCCTCCTGATTTTATTTAACAGAGGAATGCCTTCTAAACTCCTTTTGTTGCCCCAAATTTTTTTTTTCCTAAATACTTAGCCTTGTTTATGCCTGAAAGGGGCAGTTTAAAAAAAAAAAAAAAGCTCAGTCATCTGAGTGACTACAAAGAGAACAGCCTGAGGCTAAAGAGGACAGTGGGGGTGGCCACTGGGGAGCGTTACCAGTGGGCTGAGTGATGGCTGATGTTCCCACCTAACATGGGATTAGGGAAGGGCAGGAGAAGCTTAAAGATCCAGTCCCCATGCTGTGGTTCCACCCAAAGCTAGGGCTATGGACTGAGGGTCGATAAACATGCAAGCCACAGAACCCATCTCCATGACAACGAGTGGGAGTCCTGTCACTTTTAGAGCAGGTAGATTTTCACCTTAGCTTTCCAGATGTTGGAGGCAGTCCTTGTCAGAAGCAGAGAGGAGTTCTCGGTAATCATCTTCACAAAAGTAGCTGCCCTAGAAACTGCTCGTAACAGCACCGAGCCACAGGGTGTGCAGGAAGGGAAATAGTCTATCTCCGCACCGTCCCACGCTGGAGCCACCAGCCACGAGTGGCTCCCGGCTACTTGGACTGTGGCAGGTGCCACTGAGGAACTGAATTTATATTTTTACTTGATGTTAATGAATTTAAAGTCGAACATTCTTATAATTATAAATTAAAATGTAATACCTGGTTTTCCTTGTCTTTACAGACACGCACGCCCTGGTAAGCCTTCTTCAAAATCTGAACAAAGCAAACTACAACCTGCCCATCATGGTGACAGATTCAGGGAAACCACCGATGACGAACATCACAGATCTCAGGGTACAAGTGTGCTCCTGCAAGAATTCCAAAGTGGACTGCAACGCCGCGGGGGCCCTGCGTGCCGGCGTGCCCGCGCTCTTGCTCCTCTGCCTCTTCAGTTTGGCTTGTAAGTTGGCCTAACTCCAGCACGTGCACAGGTAGAAAATGTAACCGCGCCAGGTTCGTGAAGTGGTTTTTCCCATATATCTTTCCAGGAAAATTTATCCCAGAGGAATCATGCATCTTTAGTTTGTGTCTGTGTGATAGAAAATGTCACATGTAAAAATGCTTTAACTAATGTTTGAAGGCATCTTAGCACTCTCCTGGCAGCCAGTCCGAGGGATTGTGCAGAGGCACTCGCTGCCATCCTGCAAAGGAGGTGATCAGCAAAACTTCCCGCAGATGCCTCCCGACTGGAGCTAATAAAAATGTGCCCAGATTAGTTAACTGGTCTACCGGGGGCCTATTTCTCTCTACATTGTGCAGAATAATCTATTGCAAGGTTAAAGTAGATACTAGGCCTTTCTAAGAAAAGTCATGAGAACTCATGCATGGAGGCTGGGCTGTAGGGAAAATGATAAATGTATAATTCACCCTTTTTTTTTCCTCCCACTGACTGGTAGTAATGACTATAATATAACGGAACATTATTTAAACAAATGAATTATTATGCCAAGTAATATAGATGTGAGCATAAAATGAATAAATACATGTCAAAGATTTCTTATTTATGAAATATTAATCCAATTTTAACTCTAGCAATTATTCACATAGAGCTATTGCCATCCCAAAGCCTTTGGGGCCTTGGTGTTTACATCACGAGAAGGTATCAGTGTAATTGTGAATTAGGAAGTTGGGAGACTGACAGAAACAGAGAACAGAAGGTTTTACATCCTGGTGACGGTGGCAGGTGAGTCAACAGGGAATCACATATTCTGACATCGGATGCTCACTGTGTGTGAAGATCTGTGCAGGACCAGAGTCCTGTGCGTGGAATTAAAGAGAAGCCCTGACAGCCTCTTGCTGGCGCTTCAGGCTCTTTATTTCCAAAACAACATATCGTCTTCCCCGCCCCTCAACCAACCAACCCCCCTGCCTGCCCTGCCTTTGAATCTGTGCCGTCCCCATCTCGTCATCCCCACGTCTTCCTCCAAGTCCTCCAGCTGCAAAGCCCACCCGAGTCTAAAGCCTCCACCTTCCACCCACGCCGCCCCCAACCCCCCATCCCAGGTCCTCATCTCCACATACCTGAGTGTGTCGCTGGCTTTCTAACTGCGTCTCTGTGCGAGGACTTACGAGACAGACCCTAGGTGTCCAGAGACCTGCCCTCGGGTGCCTCTCCTTAGTCTTCTCCGTAAAGGAGGAGACAATCCCATCTGCAGAGGAGGAAGGGACAGAGATGGGGCTTGGGACGGATTGTCAGAGGGCAAACAGCTGGGCTTGATGAGAGATGGACACGGGTTACCGGAAAGCAGGGACTGTGCAGAGGAGCTCGGACACCATCTTCATCTGTCCAGGCTGCTATAAAAAAATACCATAGATCGGTGGCCTATAAACAACAGAAATTTGTTTCTCACGGTTCAGGAGGCTGGAAATTCCAAGACAAGGTATTAGCACGTTTAGTTTCTAGTAAGAGCTCACTTTCTGGTTCAGACATGGTGCCTTCTCCCTGTGTCCTCACGTGGTGGAAGGGGCGAGGCAGCTCTCCGGGGCCTCTTTTATAAGGACACTAATCCCATTCATGAGGGCTCTGCCCAAAGGCCCAACCTCTTATTATTACCATGGTAATAATATCATCCCCTTGGTGATTAGATTTCAACATACAAACTTTGGGGGACACAAATATTCAGACAATAGCAGATACCATGAATTTATAGCAATACATCATGCTTATTAATCCTTTGCTTTGCTGACAGATATCCTAGACCTAGATTCCTAGAATCTAGAAAAATGTCCTTCACGAGCATGTACCCTCTGGTGCCTGGTTTGCTAAGTCATCACTGTTAACCCGCAGGAGGTCATCCTTATATGGTGTCAACTGGGGAGTGGGTGGTGGTTCTCAACCATGGCTGCGCAGTGGAATCACCTGGACAACTTGTAAATGTGCATCTACCCATACCTGGGTCCGACCCTGTAGCTGGAGGTGTGGCTCGCCAGGTGATTCTGAAGCACTGAGAGCATCTAGACTACCACGTGAGGCACTCGACCCTGCAGGAAGAGGCTCCTGGTTGTCCTGACAGCATCCTCTGCTCTGGTCCATGGCCTGGACATGTGCTGGTGGTTTAGTTCACAGCCCAGTAGGAAAAAGGAGGAGGAGGGTGGATTTAAGAATATGGTGTGAAGATATTTACTACTGATGGTGCTGGGAAACCTCAGCTCTGAGAAGGAGGATGTCATAAGGTGACAGAACACATCTATGTGAGCGTTCCTATAGCACCACCCTTCCAAAAGGTACAAAAGCAGCTTAAAGAATTAAAACATGGGCAAGACAGGAAGTTAAATTAAACTTCACAAAGAACAGAAACCAACTAGGAAGAGCTGGAGACAGAGTTAACTGACTAAATTTGGCCTGAGCTTCCTGTCGGCGGAATCGTGCTTGCTGCATGCAACCGCCGCTGCGTGATAAGAACCACGCGCTATTCGAGCGGTGGTTCCTAAATGCCGTTATAGATCACATCCACTTAGGAAACAACTTTAAAATTAAATTTCTGGGCTCCTTCTCCTGGAGATTTTGATCTGTGGGTCTGGATCAGGACTTGGGGTGGGGGTAGGAGATGAATGGACATATGGACAGACAGATGAAAGGAAATATGTTTTTTTCTCTTTCTTTCTTTTATTCTTTTGTTCTTTCTTTTTTTCTTCCTTCCTATCTTCCTTCCTTTTTCTTCAAGGAATAAAAAATTACAGGCAAAGGTGAAATCCTCTCTGTTTCTCTCCCTGGGTTTATTTCCTGTTCTCTCTTCCCAGAGACAATAGCTATTATGAGTTAGCCATCCGTGTGTGTGCCCGGATGTTGTGCTACACTTCTACTACACACACACACACACACACACACACACACACACACACACAGAGTTCTGTTTTGTGCAATTTGTAAAACTTTGTGTAGTAGTTCGTATCGTGTTGGGCACACCGTCCTTCAACTTGCTTTTCTTCCTCTCTGCATCACGTTCCCAAGGTCCATCAGCGTCACCCTAGTTCAGGGTAGGCAGGCGTTCTCTGTAAAGGGCCAGGCAGCAAACATGTTGGGCTTTGTGGGCCACACCAGGTCTCTGTCACATATTCTTCTTTATTGTTTGTTGATTTGTTTGTGTCTGTCTTTCTTCTTTTACCTCCCTTAAAAAATGTGAAAACCATTCTTAGCCATGGAGCCGCACAAACACGGGCTGCAGACCAGTCAGTCCACTGGCCGCAGTTGGCCAACCCTGGCCTGCTCAAGTGTCCTGTCAGTTGGACATGGTGCAATGGAATCCTCTGTCACAAGCACCTTTGAATCGTTTACGGCGTCCTGCAATGACCAACTCAGCTGCAGTAAGAGATCTCTGCTTTCCACCAGCTCCTCAGGCGAGCGCTAGACAGACGGCAAGCCTGGCACTGCTCACAAATGGACACTTAGAAGCCACCGCTCTAGAGACTACATTTTCAGAGCTCTGGGAACAATTGGAACTCACATAAAACAGTGTGGACGAACTAGAGGGCAGTACTTCCTATGTGATTGCAAAGAGATAAAAATTCTGTGTGTGTGTGCATGTGGATGCATGTGTGCATGCACATGTATGTTGTGTGTGGGGGCACGTATACAAGAGAGAAGATAATTGAGTGGCCACATCACACATCACCCTCTCTAAACCCAATTGCAGGACATCCCTTTGAAGAACAAGGCTCCTTGGGACACTGCTCACACATCAGCTCTGTACCCTGCCACTGAAAGGGGAGCCCACAGCCCCTGCACCCCTGCTTGTTAAAATACAGATTCCCAGGCCCATCCCACCTAGGACAGCAACATCCCAAATGACGGTGGCTTCCAGCACAAGGCCCTGTGTTTGTGTATTTTTATACAATATTTTTATAATAATACATACCTCTGCTAATACCAATCTATTAAGTAGTAGTAAACCTTCATTTTTTTAGATTATTAGAAATATAAATAGACATGGCAATATTTTCTTCTTCCCAATAAGGGATTGTCTTGTGCTTCTCACTTCGCAGAACCCTGAGCTACAGATATCAACGATGTGCGGGTTCCAAGGGTGGCCCATTTCTCACATCTCTCAACTGAGCTCTTGGTCAAGTTAATCTGAAGCAGAATTGCCTGGCTGCCCCTAAAGACTTGCATCATGGTTATTATCAGTGATAAAAGCTGCTGCACACTCTGAGATACCAATGTGTTTATGCTCTCTCCTACTGCAGGTAGAGGCAGCTATTGGTAAACTCAAAATTATTCTCCAAGGAGCTCTGCATCTCCCTTGGTAACAGGAAAGGTACTTAGTTAACATTCCAATGTTTTGCACGACAAAAACAGGTAGTTTCAGTCCAAACAACAGTTAAGAAAAGGTGTTAACCACTCACCTGCTTGACTTCAAAATGGCCTTCGGTCCATCTCTATATAAAAGGCATAAGATTACTTAATATTGTTCATTTAAACATTAGAGATGCCTGCCAAATATAATGATTTTTGTTTTATTATATACGTAGTCCAAGATGTTCCTCCCAACCAAAAAGGGACGTATATAATAAGACATTTGAGAAACTGGGGCAGAGCTGGCAGGAGTGAGCAAACGTGGGCACTGCACCAGTCAGACACCGTCTGGTAAGAGCAGACATCAAAGTGGCCAACCCACAGGTGCCACTATTAACACGACGTTGACAAGAAGCTGCACGGAGATGAGCCTGAAATCTTAAGCAAAGGCTGGGAAGGAGGTGGGGGATTTCTAAAGGCACCGAAATTAGATTTTAAGTGCAAAGGTAGGATCACTTCCCAACTCAGCCAGTCTTTGAAAGAATTTTGGGAGCCAGGAGATAGAATCTGTTTTATGTTGCTTTAAAGTAGGGTCAGCAAATTAAGTGCACAGGCCATCTGGTCTACTGCCTGTTTTTGTAAATAAAGTTTTATTGGAACACAGCCATGCCCATCATTTACATATTGCCCATGGTTGTTTTCTGCCACGGTGGCAGAGCTGGGTAGCTGCCAGAGACCATATGGCCCACAGAGCTGAAAGTATTGACTCTCTGGTATTGACTTTGCTTTACAGGAAAAGTTTGCCAGCGCCTGCTTTAAAGCATCATTCCCAAAACTTTCATGTGAAATAGAAGCGGCAGGTCACATCGTGTGACGCGGAAAGAAAAATGGATTTTTCTCCTTCCCCAGAGTACTTAGATCCAAGTAGACTTGCATTAACCAAACTGTTCTGTGGCTTTTTTCTTTGTTTTCTTCATCGGTCTGGTAATTTTATCCCACTTTACAGATGAGAAAACTGATGCTCAGACAGATCCCATGCAAGTAATCAGTAAGGCCAGCATTTGCCATTAGACTGCTCCCTTTATGGGAAAGATAATAAAAGCATTTCAGTTTATGACGATACCATAGATGGCTTTACTGTGACTGAGAGTGGAACTGAGGGGTCTGCATTTCCTTCTTTGACATCTGAAAATAAAGGGAATAAAACTAATGACATTGAAAGTAATAAAAAATGTAAATGAAATTATTTTTACTGTCAATTGTTGTATAAATTCTGAGTTGATGGCACTAAGGGGATGCAAGATTTGTCCCTTGGCACCCTCCCAGCAGAGCAACCGGCCTCGTCGTTATGCTGTGTCCACCGTTTTTCTAGCACAGCTCCTCGTGGTAGAGCAAGTCTCCAGGAAAAAACCTGCCCAGAAACCTTTTTGACCATTGCGTGAGGCGTAGCTCATCACTACTAGCAAGGACAGACCAGGCGGCCCATCTAACAAGTACCAAAATTAAATGTCTCTATGTTGGGGGTGGGGAGACAACCTCAATCACGATAAGTTTAAAGAGGTGACCGAGATGAGCAAAAAACAGCTACTAAACATTTTTTGTAATCTTAATTTTTTAATTAAGGTATTATTCGCATACAACAAAATTGATGCATTTGGGTAACCGTACGCAATTCTGTGGCCACAACACAATCAAGATACAGCTTCCTTTGCTGTTGACCCCTCTCCCCGAATCCAGGCCCTTGCTGATCTGCTTTCTGCAATAATAGTTTTGCCTTTTCTAGAATTTCCTAGAGTATATCAGTAGTTTGCTCCTTTTTATTGTGGGTATATTATGGGCAGAGAGGAGCCTGAGAAAGCATGGTGGGGCAGAGGGGGCTGTCCTCCGCCTGCAGATGGCCCGAGGGAGGGTGTGCAGAGGAGCTGTGGTCCTTTAAGGGGATAGAACTTTCTGGACAGTGATAGTTGACCCTTGAGGGCTTTCTGTGTGCCATGCACTCGCTGGCTATACGCTTTACATAAATTATACAGATTACCTCACATAATCATCTCAATAGCCCCAGGAGGTAGAATCATTTATGTGATAGTCTGACTTAAAACAGGAATTTGAGACTCTAATTTGAAAACAAAGGACTGAAGACTAGCTGGATTTTTATCCAGCTAAATCTTTCTTTTTTTCTATTTTTAACTGATTTGCTCCCCAGGAGACAGTTGGAAATATCTAGAGTCATTTTGATTATCATGCCTGTGAGGACACCACTCTTGGAATCTAGTGGGTCGAGGCCAGGGACGCTGCTAAACGTCTCTCCATGGACAGGACATGCCCTCCCCCACCCACCCACCCCCCCAGAATGACCAGCCTCAAGTGTCAGTCGTGCTGGGGCTGAAAAACCCACTCTAAGCAAAACTGGACACAGAAAGTGAAGACGTTGCACCAGCCTGACAATACTAATGGCTTTTAACCATTTAAAACACAAAAAAAGAATATTTCTCCAACCTAAAAGAACAACAGTCCACATTTTACATGTCTTGCAACTTGGCGACAGACGAGCCCAGTCACTGTAAAAATGGAAGGACTGCCCAAAACATCTGCAGTTCCGAGCAGAAGGCGGCCTGTCTTCCACGGGCACTTTGGATGGAGGCAGGTCTGGGGACAAGCACGCAGCACCTGTGGACTGACTCGTTCCCTCCCCTTCCCCCCTTGCTGGAGCCAGACTCTCTGACACAGCCTGAGAGTGAAGAAGGGCCTTGGCGACTGTAACCGTAGACACGATGGTTCACGCGACTCCGTGAGATCTTGGTCGGGGCTGGAATCCAGCACTCCTCTTCTGGAACTGCGTGGACACGGAAGTGCTTGGAAGGAGTCAGGTAGCAACAAAATGCAGGCAAAGACGGGCTTGATTTTCAGACTGGATCTGGGCATCCTAAAGGCAGAGCTTCTCCCCACTGACAGCGTTGAGTTGAGCCTGACAACGCTGACCGGCTCTGTGACGGGGCCAGCCCTCACAGGAGGAGCCCTCAGCAGGAGTGGGGATGACAGCTCTCGAGCACACCCCACGCTGACGTCCCCTCCTGTGAACTTCTCCCCGTGAGTCATGTGTTCTCATGGTCCACAGCGTAGTTTGCCATGTGACACCTTACTTCCTTGGGAGCACGGTGCTACTTTCATGGTTCACTGAGCAATGGCCCCAAAGATGTCCTCAGCCTCCTCCCTAGAGTCCATGAACAAGTTACTTTATGTAGTAAAAGAAACTTTGCAGAAGTGATTAATGATCTTGAGATGGGGAGATTTTCCTGGATCAGTCACGTGAGCCTGATATAATCACAGAGTCCTCATAAATAAGAGGCTGGAAGGAGGGGCTGGAAGCAGACCGTGTGGGGAGGGAAGCAGAGGGAGGCGTAGTTGGAGCGAGAAGCCCCTGCAAGGCCGGCTTTGAAGCTGGAGGGAGGGGCCGCGAGCCCAGGGATGCAGGGGCCTCTCCGAGCTGGAACAGACAAGGAAACGGATCCTTTCCCAGATGCTCCAGGAGGAACGCAGCCTGCCAGCGCTGATGTTAGCCCCATCGCACTCATTTCAGATTTCTGATCTCCAGAAATGCAAGAGAATATATCTGTGTTATTTTAAGCTGCAAAGTTTGTGGCCATTTGTTATGGCATCAACAGGAAACTGACACCCCTCGTTTGAACAACCGCCAATAGGTATCCTGCTCTGTGACAAAAAAATATATGGGACAGTCAGCAATCTCTGAGCTACGAAACCACCGTGTTCACAGAATGGTCACGCTCTGTGCTCAGGGGCAAGTTATAAGGCCCAGTGGTCGCAGCGATAATAGCAGCTGTTGGTCTGAGGGATGCTTGGCATCTGACGTCATCATTAGCATTTTCAGAGAAGTCCAGCTTTTTAAGCCATAAACCAGCAGAACTATTCGTTCTGTCTTCAGATGTCATGCTTAAGAAAAAGTTTTCCCAAGGTAGTGCAGTGTTTGTAGATGTGTTTATTGCAGCTTATTAACCACTTATCCGGTTTTTAGCTAAATGTTTTGAAACGAGTTGTGATATTCCCGACTTAACTCTGAACCTTCTCCATTCAGGTCTGTGAGGACTCCTGGCATCTGAAGCTTGACTCCCAGGTTTCCATAGCAACAGGAAAAAGAAAAAAAAAATCTATCCAAATCTGAAGATTGCGGTTTACAGCTATCGAACTTCACAACTAGGCCTCAATTGTTCCAGATTTTTGTTTTCTTTGCAATTTCATTTAGTCTATACTTCATCATTTTGACAGCATCTCCCTTCCTTGTTTAATTAACGTAATCCTCTGAATTTTTCCTGACTGTTTAAAGATCATGACACATAACTTGACCTTCTGAGAGCAGGAACGATGACTACTTTTTCCGATGTGTTGACATGTCGCTAGCCAGTGCTCCACGCACCCCACTGTGTCTGTGGGTCAGTATTTGTATATGTATGAGTATCTGTATGTGTATATACACGGTATTTATATAGAGAGACCATACCAGGGTAAACAAGGACAGGGCGGACACTGGGACAGCTGAACCCTCTGGGTTAACCCAGCATCAAGACAGACCACAGAGCTGCCGCTTTTGCTCTGAAGCTGCTTCTCCACCGTCCCATTCAGTCTGAACGACCAGCCAGGCAGGGCCACGGGGAGGGAGAGAGGAAGAAATCCTCTCTCTTTACCTAGCATGAGGACTACAGCCAGTCCCCAGTGCCACCATATGCCGTGATCCTGAGCCACAGCGGGTGGAGCAGAGCAAGAAATGTCACCTTAAATGCCCAGAAAGGGGCTGAAATAGTCTTTCCTGGGCATCAATCTGCATTTGTGTGCGTCCCGAAGCCGCAGACCCCCTGATTCTCATGGGGACACAGATCATGGCAGAGAATCTCTCCCTCCTCAGCAAAGGTACAGTTGCAAAGGTCATCTCGGAGGTCACACGTGCACATGAAGAGGTCTACAGGTACCATCTTGTATACACATATACACCCACATGTACAGACATACATTTATGCACATACACTCCGTTCGTTTCATATATACATGCATTAAAATAGAGTAAATACAGGTAGTTTTAAAAGTACCCTTTTGTGTGAATCGACTACCGTTGTTTGCAAACCTGAAAATAAAAGATGTTCATTATGTATGAAAAGTAACTGATTTTTATTCTGTGAGCATGTAGAAGTAAGAGGAAAGTTAGTGCTTGTACTAAGATTATCTTCTTGTTGATAAACTGTAAATGAATCATCAAAGCTCACACCAAATTTTTCTATCAAATAAAACTAGTGACAGCCTGTGGCTTTTTATTAGAGCTCACCACAAACTAGGGTAAGGTAAGTGTCTTAGCATATTTTAATGCAATTGCTTACTAAAGGTTTTAACGACACACACACACACACACACACACGCTTTCTTATGCAATCTATGTTTGCACTTGTGCTTTTCAGTTAGCCTTTTGTAGGAAGTAGAAGTCATATGTTGTCTTTGTTATAGTGAAATTATGCAGATAGAGTTCCATATATTGTATTTGTTTCAATAGTAAATCTTTTTGGAGCATATAGAATGAAGAGATTTTTTTTCCATTAAAATAAATGGGTATTGGTGGTTAAAACTGCTGGACAGTAGCTTTTCTCTGATTTCTATGCTGTGTCTAATGTCACCGATGCTGGGTCTCATCTCAGTACAAGTTTACGTTATTGACTGACCTGTTGGGTCCCCCGCACATCTCTGGTAGATGAGTGTGTCTGTAAAGGCAGAAGCACCAGCCCATAGTTGGGCAATGTATTCATCCTGTCCCCATCAGGATACGATTGCGCATGTCACAATCAGCTGTGAAGATAACTGCACAGGCGAAGACGAGAGGGACCATCCTCAGTTTGATGACCACACAAAGCACAGTCACAACCATCTGTCCCAAGACATGGGGATTTTTCTCTTGAACTAGTCCTGCTGCTTAATCAGGAGATGCCACACCTTAAACGTGACATGATCATTCTCCACAAGCATGTGACCCCAACTCAGAGGCAGGGGGCATCTAAGCCTGTGCCCTCGAGCTTTACAAGATTTCCTCTTCTGGCATTACGGGGCGCAACCCTGTGCCTCCCTGGGGCACCTCGCTCCCCTCTTCAGCAGGGCAGAGAGAGAATGTTCACTCTTGAACCAACCAAGGAACGTCCTCAGACCACCAGGTGATTGGCGGCCTGACCCATTTGCTAACTAACAATCAGAGACCCCGCCCTCCTCACGCACTTGAGCCGTCTCCAGGGAAAAATACAGAAGCTGAGTGACCCATCTATGGAAGGAAACAAGTGCAGGTCTCCTCCTTCCCTCTCAAGCCAGTAGGCTTTCCTGCACTTTGCAGATCAAACCGGAAGCTTAACTTAGCTTAGAACTCAGAAAAATTGGAGTAAAGTGCATACTACATTAGTAAGTAGAATATGCTTCAGCGTTTTCTTATCTAAGTATATTCTGTGTCCCTGGAGTTCTATCAGGACAAAGATAGTCCTGTCCTGTTATTCTAATACTTTCTTAAAATAAAAAAGAAAGAGAAAACTAGACTAATTCTTAGAAGCCAAAGTGGTAGCATTTCCTGAATTGTAGGATGTTTTTTGTTCCCCTGCTAGAATATATTACCTTGTTTACTGAAAGCCGTAATAGAATCAAAATGTTATTTCATTATTACCTATGCATTTTATCTTAGTCCAAGTTATTAAAAAATAAAGTAAGAACCAGAAATTGCTTTTCCCAATTACTGAGCACAGACTGCAGGCTTCATTTGCATTGAGCAAATAGCCACAGTTCCTTCACTTCTCTTTATTAATACATCACCCAGCTTAGTTGATTAAAAATTACATTTTCTCCCCATTTTACATATGATAAATTAATGATTTTGGATAATTTGTTTTAACAAGACTATGCAAACCTTTTCCGATTTCAACAAAAGTTACCTTCAATACTGCCAGTTCCCCCAAGTGTGCACCCTTCCAGGCAGATGTCCCCAC